GGATGTTTTTTCACAGGTAATCAATGATAATGAAACATCACATTTTTTTTAAACACAGACATTTTGCCCTTATATTTTGGTAGTATGTAAGAAGGCACTAGCATGAACCAGCAGTGGCATTGCGCTCATAATAGCATGAGCCTTAGCACATTCACCTATGTAAAAACATCTTCCTTGAATCAAAGGATTTCTCATTGCTTCTGGGTGACGAGTCAGGTGAGAAGGTCCAAAATTTTCTTCTGATATTAAATCCTGTTAGGTGAATCCAGTAAACAGCTGCAAAGTGTGTTTATGTCTATTCACAATAAGCTCACTGCTATTTTAAAGGCTTTATGGCTTGATCTTAAATTTTACTAGGCAAACACATACATTCTTAGTATGGGAATGTTGTTGTGGCATGTTCAACTGTCACACTGCACATAACCTGAACACTTCCACTGATGGAAACTCTGAATGCTACTCTGGGGTAATGAAAATCACCCCCTGCTGCCTGCAGAAGTTCTCTGTGGGATCCAACTAATTGTGAATATTACAGAGATGTTGCTTTTGGTATTGGAATTGCTTATTTCTAGGACTACCACAGACACCATATTTTTTCTAATGTAGACATTCCTAGGGTTTCATGTTCTCAGGCCAGCATGGTGTAGTAGTGGTTAAGAGTGGTAGCCTCTAATCTGGAGAACTGGGTTTGATTCCTCACTCCTCCACATGAAGCTAGCTGAGTGACCTTGGGCCAGTCATAGTTCTCTCAGAACTCTGTCAGCCCCATCTACCTCACAAGGTGCCTGTTGTGGGGAGAGGAAGGAAAGGAAATTGTAAGCTGCTTTGAGATTCCCTAGGGTAGAAAAAGAAGAGGAGATTGGATTTATACCCCACCCTTCACTCGGAGTCTCAGAGCAGTTTACAATCTCCTTTCCCTTCCCCTCCCCACAACAGACACCCTGTGAGGTGGGTGGGGCTGACAGAGCTCTTTCAAGAACTGCTCTTTCAAGGACAGCTCTGACAGAACTATGGCTTGCTCAAGGTTATCCAGCAGCTGCAAGTGGAGGAGTGGGGAATCAACCCCGGTTCTCCCAGATTAGAGTCCGCACACTTAACCACTACAGGTTATAAAAACCAGCTCTTCATCATCGTCTGTAGCCTGTTATTGAACCGGAATTTAAGTTTCGCCAATGTAGTGACATTAAGTGGTACCAAATTTTAATCAAGGTCTATTCTGTGATCTCTAGAGTGCCTTTCCAACAACCACTTTGTCTAAATCACCATATACCACACATTAGTAAAAGGTAAAGGTTCCCTTGCTCGAAAGCCAGTCGAATCCGACTCTAGGGTTGCGGTGCTCATCTCCGTTTCAAAGCCGAAGAGCCAGCGCTGTCCGAAGATGTTTCCGTGGTCATGTGGCCGGCATGACTAAACACCAAGGCGCACGGAACGCTGTTACCTTCCCACCGAAGTGGTACCTATTTATCTACTTGCAATTTCTTGCTTTCGAACTGCTAGGTTGGCAGGACCTGGAACTAAAGACGGAAGCTCACCCTGTCTTGCGGCACCTGGGTCTTGAACCGCTGAACTACTGACCTTCCACAGCCTGCAGTTCAGCGTCTTAACCACTTGAGCCACCGCAGTACCACACATTAGGAGTGCTGAATTTTACCAGGGAATATATTATTGTACAACAAACAAGAGTGCACATTTAGATTGCTTTCAGATGGAGCTCTGATTCAGAATGGGGTAATGTCTTCATGTGCCCTTAAAGTTTGCCACTATGGAATTTATTGATAATTGGCATAATACAGAGGCCATACAGAAAGCACATGCTATCACATGCGGACCTGCTGTGTAGTTAACTCTTCCTCGCTTCTCAGCAGAATGCAGCTCCATTTGTCCTGTTCTGGGATATTTGAGCTTACTGTGATGTAGTGTGATTGTCTACATGAATTCAAATGATCAGAAGAAATCAATTTAGAAAAGTTCACACCGTTTTGAAAGACTGCTGAGGCCTATTGATTCTACTACTTTCACAAATATACCCTCCCCTCCCCAGGCCTTTCCAAGAATACTTCATCCAGGCTAACTTTAAAAAAAAAAATCAATAGCCTGGATTGTACTTGGCTACTAGCACTGCAATATTCTATACGTTACAGAATGTTCTTGAATCCAACGGAGAATCCGGCAGTGTTCTCTAGAGTCTGTTTGGCTTCTCTCATGTTCGCTAGTCATGTTCCCTGCCCCCACCTATTTGATTAGACTTTCCCTTACCCTTAACTCTAGTCCAGCAGTCAACAGTAGTTTAAATTGAAATAGTGGTCGAGGGATGAGTATGCACATTAACAAACGCAAGAAAATGTGTTATAAATAGCTCTATTTGTCATCCTAATTCACTACAGTTTACAGTTACAAAAACTAAACTTCCTGATTATTAATCTCCCAGTTAAATTAACACACTATTTATCCTACTGTAGCTTCTTCTGTTAGCCACAACACCCCAAAGGAGGAGCCTGGATATGTTTTCTCTGGTTCACAAAATTAGCAAATGTTTGTGGGTTTACTATTTGAACAGTTTCTTCTAAAATTGGGAACTAATACATCTGTGCTGGGCCAGACAAAACAATCCAAATAGTCATTTGTTTGAATAATCATATAAGCCTTACATAGTTGTTTGGAAGTAAATCTCCTTGAAATTAGTTAAGACTTGCTTCCAAGTCACTAACTGGACTCAAATGTCAATATTTTACTGCAAACTGGCACAGCTACCCCTCCTGCATCTATCTTCAAGTAATAACAGTGAGGCTTCAGCTGTAATTCAGTTTTGTGTTCTTTAACAAGAAGCGGAGACTTGTGATACTCACGGGGGGGGGGACACAGGAGGAGCTCCACATGAAGGAGGAAGCAGCCGCAGGTGAGCCTTCTCCCCCGCACGGCTCCCAGCTGCTGGGCTCGCCAAGCCTTCTCCCCCACCCCCCCGGCACTGATGCCGAGGCCTGTGCAGCTCCCAGCTGCCGACCAGCCAAGCCTTATCCCCCCCCCATGGCAACGGAGGGGAGGCACAGTTCCTACTTTTGGGGAGATTTAAGTATCCCCCCTGTCGTTTTTTCTACATTTCAGATTTTTCTGCACACCTGGGGAATGCCCCAAGTGTGCAGGAAAATCTCTTTGCCCCCCAGGTGCCCCCGATGTGCGGATTTAGATATCCGCACGCAGAGCGGACCTTGGCTATTAGATATATAGATAACAGCTAGCAACTATTTCAAAAAGTGTAGGGGGCAGTCGAGAATCAGAATGACAAAACGTGACTTTGAAATTAGTCAGGGCAGACTCATTCATTTACCTACAATACCAAGCTACGTACACAAGGGGGACAGAATGCTAATTAGGGTGGCTGGATTGGCACCTAACTTTTACAGGTAAATTATATCCTTATGAATGACACTTATCCTCTAGGTTTCTGTAAAAATAAATTAAACAATTCATACGTCTTCCAACAAAATGCAGCATTTCAAGATTTGTGAAGTGATGTGCACAATTTGTAATTTAAGCATGACATTTTTGTAATTTCCCGTGTAGCTGTAGATTTTAAATGAGGGAAAAAAGAACATCTGCATGTCTGATAAAATAAATATTGCAGCTTGGCAGTACTAATGTTGCTGAGTATTTGGGGGGGAAAAAAGAATTGATCTCTTAATCTTTCAGCGCAGATAAAGCAACAATATAGGTGGGTTGCCTACACTGCTACCCTGCCCCAGGATAGGTGCTTTGACTCTTAAAAGCCAAGGGTGAGAGCATGCTGTTTCCACAGCAAAGCATTCTATGGCCCATCAGAAACACAGAGTGACGTCACCAAACTACAGTGTTGCTGCAAAGTGAAAGGGGGCTTGGAGTCCTCTGAAGGAGAGGCAAAGAGCTCCTTTCTGTAACAGTCATAACAACCCCTGTCACAGCAACTTGGCAAGTCACTGCTAATTAAGGACAATTTAACAGAAGGAGGTTGCTTGGCTGTATTGATGTTGAGCCATACAGTCATGTAACCAATCCAACTTCCCAGGTTGTAAGAGGGAGACTTCTAGTTGTGACTATCAGTTGCATATGTATGCAAGTCAGAAAGGACACAGCCTATTTATCTGTGAAACCGGTATGAAGATAGTCATCGAAACTGCCATCAAGTCGCAGCTGACTTACAGTGACCCGGTAGGGTTATCAGGGCAAGAGACATTCAGGGTGGTTTGCCATTGCTTGCCTCTGTGAAAACCTCAGACTTCCTCGGTGGTCTCCCAAGTACAAACCTGCTTAGTTTCAGAGATCTGATGAGATCAGGCTAGCCTGGGCCATCCTGGTATGAAGACAGCTGCATGAAATTGCTCCAATTAGTGTTATTGGGAAGGTGCTGTCTCAGCCCTTTGGACAGGGACAGAGGTTTTGCCTCACATGCTCTCCTTAGAACTTCTCTGTACACCAAGGTCAAAGGTAAGAAGCTGCCATAGTTCCCTTCCCCAACTTGGTGCACTGCTGCACAGGGGAATCCTGATCAAGCAGAGCATCGATAGATTGCATCCTCTGTCTTGATGCCTAACATCAATCACAGCATGCTCACGAAGACAACTTTGACCTTGCTCATCACAGCCTTTGAGGCATCTGCACTCCATTAACTCATCTCCCTGGGGAAAAGGAAAGGCCTTTACAGTGTCATCCAGTTACTTTCTCTGTTTCTGCTTACCTTTCTCTACTTTCTCTGTTTCTGTTTACCTGTGATGAAGGAAAGGCTTCTCTGACAACATCACTTTTAAACTGGCTGCTTATTTAGATCTGACGCTATCCTAACAACCTTTTCCAAAATTTCCAATTTGCTAGAATGTGGCAGGATTGCTGAAATCCGAAGGAAACTGGCAGAGAAGGAGCATCACAAAGTTGTCCGGCAGCATTACCACACTGTTTCAGTCAGCTGCACCACATCTGTGAACAGGGAGTCAAGCTTTCACACTACTATGCAGAAGAAATATAGCAGGCTCTGGACATCAACTTAGTGCTTTGCGGGCTCTGCACATGGGTTTTACACACACAACCGATACACACCCAGATAATTAGAGGCTAAGTATCTTCCCAATGTCTCTGCTCAAGAAATATAGCAAGGAGCAGAGCTATCAGAAATTCAAGAATGATGAAACTGGGAAGAGAAACATGCCTGAGGATCGGATAGGGAAAACCAAGTGAACTGCAAAACTCACCTCTAAACCTATATTTATAACATTACCTTACTATCTTCTTCCCTCATTTGCCTTTTCCTGAAGAATGGAATAGTTTGGGATGTTATTTATATATTATTGCATTCTGAGAAATATGGTATTCAACTGAGTTTTATAGTCAGTCATTGTTCAGTCAATGAAAATGAAGCAACTTTAATGAATGAAAATACAAAAACAGTCTTAATTTTTTTTAAAAAAAATCTGAATATTTAAGAGCTTTTGATAATGGGATTTTCATTGTTATGCTATGTTTTCGCACATTAATGCTGTTCAGAACATTGACAATTGGTATGAAAAACAATCCAGTGAAACACTTGCATTTATCTAAATTAGTATCTATCAACTAGAAGCAGGTACTAAATCCTTTGAAGGAAACATTCCATTTCAATTCAGTTTGGGTGGCAAATGGCTTTTAAAAAAACCTTGATGTTAGTTACACAACAAAGGATACGTGTTTATTATTGCTAACAATATATATAGAATTTTTCCCAATGCATACCTAACATATAAACATGTACCTAACAACTTAAATACAACTTGCATCAAAACTACCTTCACGTTTTATAAACATTATTGGAAAATATATTATCAATTTACTTGTTTATATGTTGAAATATAGTCAAAAGTGGGATACAATTGTGGTAAGGTGTTGCAATATTTGACCTATTTCAGCCACAGAAATTTCATTTATTTTAGGAGCTCCAAGTTGTTAAAATGCTACAGAACCCAGAAAAGATCATTCACCTTGTTTTTGTACAGCTAATATGTTGCCAGCTGTGGATCCTTATAATTTGTAACATTTAACGATCTGAAATATAAAGAAAATGTTATAAGATTTACTGGAAGCATGGCTTACTGTCTCTGTCTGAAAGAATCCATAGACATGTCTGCATTTCATCCCCACTTCCCCTAGGTAAGGTATTGTTCCTGGCCAAGCAATCTCTAGAAGCCTATGGGGTACTCAGTAGCACTGCTCCCAGAACTATCTATCCAGCTTTGATTTAAATGAATAGGGAATAGGGAGCAGTGCGCAGCTTTTAGGCAGGGGCCATGGATCAGTGGTAGAACATCTGCTTTGTATGTAGAAGGTCTTCCAGGTTCAACCCCAGCATTGCTAGCTGGAAGGACCACAGAGTACATGGTGGGAAAGACCCTTGGCAAGCCGCTGCCAGTCTGAGTAAACAAATACTGACCTCAATAGACCAATGGTCTGATCTGGAATAAGGCAGCTTCATATGTAATGTAATATAACAGGATTTCACCTATTGACATAACAAGTTCAAGTAACAGACTGGACCCTATCTACATCCTCTTGGCCCTGTCCAGTGTCTTTGGCCACAGCTAGACAAAACATCATTCCAAATTACTTGAAGGAAATTCAATTTCTGCTCAGTGCTAACAGTGGCTTCTGGAGGCACACACCGCTTGCGTTCCTTGATCAAAAAAATGCCAGAAAGATGCTCCTTCCCTCTACCCTCATCCCACTAATTAAAGCTCATAATCACATTACTGAGTGTACCACAGAAAGGAAAGGTTATTATTATCGAGGAAGTTGCTGGCAGAAGGGACCATTTGGAGCGGCAGATCTGACAAACTCATAACCTAGACTGAATCATGCAGCCAGTCTGTACTCTGCATCCACTGTATTAAAGCCACATGAGATGCTGTTGTATGGTGGCTGTTACGGAGTAAGCCACTGATGTGCCATTTTTTTCCACTGCTGTGTAAACCTTTCAGATGTTTGCGCTGGCTCAGAGAAAAACCACGCAGATCAGCTCACTAACAAGCGATGCACAAAACATCTGGAAGCTTAGAATGTAGCTGAAACTACACCATGAATTGTGGTCTGACGGGTAATTAAAGAAACCTCCCCACCTCCATCCTTTTACGGTGCCAGGCAGGAGAAACAGGAAGCTGCCCTCTTGACTGGCTGGGCTTAGTCTTGCCCAGCAGACTGCAGGTTTTGTGGGTCTGGTGCACAACAATGCTTGCCCCATGCAAGTTGCAAAGCAGGACAAATTATATTATGAAATAATAATTTCAATTTAATTTAGGCCAGGAAGAACCATCTGTTTTCAGTGCAAGGGCTTAATCATGGAACATATTGAGTAAGACTACTTTGGAATACCCTAGAACGTACTGAGTACATTTCCTTCACCATGGAGTAAAGCAAGAGAGAGTCTGAACCCACTGGGATGAGAGGATTTGAGCTCTTGGCATAACTTCCAAGTAATTTAGCCGTATCAAGAAGTAATACTTACTTTTCAACATTGGCAGCCATAATACTTCTTACTGGTCTGCTCCTTGTTGTAGAAGCAGAGTTATATATTCGTCCTTGTTTATTGGTCGTGATAGGTTTAATCATCTTCACTACGTATGGGTCTGAAGAATGGGTTGGATAAGGGTCAAATGTGCCTGCTTTCATGCCACCTGGCTAGAAGGACAAAGAAGTATTAACAACTGGAGGGCACTGGATGAAAATGCTTAGTTAATACAAAGACACCCAACAGAAGTTCAAAAATACTATTTGACATTTAACTCCCAACTCCTCTTGATAATGACACGGATGTTTAAAAATTACCTTCCTTGGATCCCGAAAGGCTCATGAGGACAGACATTTGTACCTTAAGTCTATGATTCTGAATATCATAATTGGCTTTGTTAGTGTGGATATTTGGACCTTCCAGCCCATATCCAGAAGCATTTTGCTCCACGAACCATTCAGCCCCCTCCCTTGTCTCCAGTGGGCTTCAAAAAAAATTGTTGTAGGTATATTTGCACCTATGTGGTGGCAGCTATCATCTTTGAAGAGACATCCCTTCCTGCGTGTGAGAGAGAAGAGGGAACACCTTGGTGCCTTCATGGGCCTAGATATTTTTTTAAACACAATACCCCTCTAATCAGGGGTAGTTACTTTTTTGGTTGATTACAAAGTGAACTTATTAGGGCTGCATTGATCAATCAGATTACGTTTTAAAATATTTGCTTTCGTATCCTTCAGAAAGAACGGAAAAAGTTTGGAACAGGTCAGTTCCAAGAAAAGAAGAAATGTTTTGTAGCTCCCATGGATATGAGCCTCTTGCTTTTAGGACTACCTTTAATTACACCCAATGTACGAAGGGGGTTTAAATGAGTTATGGTAACAACTATCTGCAGACTGGTCCTCTCCCCTCTTCTCCCAAAATTTTGGGATATGACTAATAATATTTTCACAAATCCAAACACTCATATTTATCTAAACAGCAGCAAAGAAAAAACAATATCCATTATATGAATAATGCTTTTGCAAGGACTGTATCTTTCAACAATGTTTTATTGTACAGTTATTCAGCAAGCCTCTTATGCATTAACTGCCAGCTCAAAGAAAACTTATCACTTAGTAGCCAATGTATTCAGAGTGCATCCTATTTGCATGGGTAAGAAATATAAGCAGATCTAGTAGATTTATGACTCTCTTTTGGCCATTCAAATCCAGAAAGACCATCTTAAAACGAACATCAACAAACTCTTACACCACTGAAGATCTCTGACAGAGATAGAATCCTGCCTTTCTACAGTAGGGGGGGAAAGGGTTCATTTTATCATATATGGTACATCTGTGACACACTAGACAATTTGTAGGCTCAAGTACATACTGAAATTTCTAAAATAACAAACTAGTTACTAACTTCTGGCTCTTGTGTCCCTCTTGGCAAACTCCCACAATCTGTCACTAATAGACAGCTACAGATGGGCACAAACTGACTCAATTTTAGGCGGTTAGTGAACTGAAGTTCATGGCAGGTCAAACAGCATGAACTTTCCACAGACTTTCAAGCAGTTTGTGGATTTGTGAATGGATACGTTTGTAGACAGACTGTCTCCACTCAAACAAAATGTTTACCAAACTTCAAAGCAACAGGAGGGCGAATTCTACAGCCTTGGAAACTCTACTGTCAGTTTTAAACTAGTCATGTCACTTTCAAGAGGGTCCCCCCGTTTTTTTGCCAGGGTTCCTTTGTGTTCACTTCCCATTTTCTTGCATAGAGCTTGCAAAATCCCACTCCCATTGCTTGGATTTGTGATTCTGTGCTTTGAGATCAGTCCTTTTAAGCTTAAAATGCCAGTGGCACTGGGTCCTGCTGGGCTTCCAACCCCCCCCTCACTTGGATTGTGATTCTGTGCTTGACATCAGTTCTGTTGAGCTGGCATGGCCACATTGGCACTGGGTTCTGCTGGGCCCTCTGTGATTGCACTGGTGCTGCTGGGCACTTTGTACTGGTTATGCTGGGCTTGCAAAAATGCCACCCATCTTCAGTTTCTACTGCAGACATTCTCTGGGACTTTGATTCTATTCTGTTGAGCTTCTGCCCTTGCTTTTTTGCTGTTTTTCTCCTAAATTTCTTTGTTTATAACTGTTTATTTACCTAGCTAAATGGAAATAACCTTGCAATGTTAAAAATGAGTTTTAAAAAATATTTAGCCTTCTATAAGATAAATGAAGAAGAGATCTTCATTTTACAAGCTTACTTCAAGCTTACATGAGAAAATTCCAGTGCACAGAGGTTGTGTTAGCCGATGAGTAAGATGCTCTGTTGATGTTTTAAAACCCATCCTTTTATTCCCTCTTGTAACCTACAGAAATTATATTCTTTGGCTTACTTCTTATTTAAATACAATAAAATTTTATATAATTTTTTTTTTACAAGCTTACTTTTTTTCCTGGAGAACTTGGTTTAAAGGCAGAATGAAGTGGTACTTGTGTGGGTAGTCTCTTTGGTGGCGGCATTGGTCCTTCATCATAGTAAGGATTCATGTCAAAATACTCTCGGGGATAAAGGTTCAATTTGAAAGGCCCACCTTTCAGCAACCGATGGTGTTCTTCAGACATTTTCTATGAAAACCGGAGTTGGAAGAGATTACACTACATACATTAAATTCAGATTAGTTTTACTGGTGAAATAATATGAAAAGAGGTTAAATTTGATAGTAAATGATAGGAAGTGGGCGTATGTACCAGACTGCTAATGCAAAATATGTGCCATGCACATCCCAAGGGGAGAGCTGCAGAAAGCAAGTAACAGAACAGTCTCTCTTTCTTAAAGCAAATAATCAATATTTATGAAGAGTTCACTATACCCAGAAGCGGTGAAGAGGAGAACTTGTAGGCTCTGCATTTGTACCTCCTTGTCATAGTTTCACATGGGGAAGGGATATATACTTCTATGAAGTAATAGAGACAGCACTGAAAGCATGCTTGGATCCCCCCCCCCGTTATTGTCCCCTTATTCCACCCATGTAGCAAACAGACAGCAGTGGGCCTCTCTGAGAACAAAACGTGTGGGCTTCTTGTATGATAGTTAGGCCAAGGATTGCTGAGTCTCCTAACTGTTCGCACTGTCCTTATGTAGTCTAGCTCCATAAAAGCTTCTTCTTTTTTAAGATGTGAACTTTTCAGGCCACCTTTTCTCCCCAGAGGGTCCTAAAGCAGCCAATACAGTTTCAAACTGAATTAGGAATAAAATAAGGTGAAACATATACATGTGAGGCCCGACTTCTATGTCACATGGTTCAGGGCGGGTTGAGGTTACAAATTCAGATGTATGCAGCCTCACATACATGCACTCACTCTTCTCTGCAGGACATGTTATAATACTTTTTAAACTTGCAGAATCAGCCTCAGAGTAAAAGAGAAAAGAGGACAGGCTTCCCTAACATATTGCTGGCACAAAATAGTTGTGTTTTACTGCTCATTGTTGTTAATTACTTTTTTGTAAATCTTAGCTGAATGTATGCCTTCCAGCAATTCCCTCCCGTGATTCTGCAAATATATCGAACAAGAGTAATATCCTGTTCTTTAGAAATCATAGAATTCATGTACAGCCATGCAGGTGTACAGTCAGGTAACTGCTAATCATCTGAAAAGGGGGTATATTGTCTACATACCGGTAATCATTAAATGGAAATCATCCAATAGAATTTTACCTTATAAGTTATTCTTCCTATGTCATATAATTCAACTGAATGTGAGTACTGTTTACCTATTGTAACATTTGGATACCTGGGTAGAGAAAACGAAACAGCGGTTGATGCCAATGTTTGACAGTTTTCAAAGTTTTTTTAAAAAGATAGATCACAAACTGCAACTTAATAGTTGTGATGGTTTACCCATAGCCAGTTCCTTTCTTCCCTGGATTGGTGTATAGATTCTTCCCAGGTGGCATGTAGGCAATTTTGTCCTTCCTTTGTGCGCTAAAGTAGGGGCATGGACCACTGATAGTTCCATAATAGGTTCCTATACCACAACTGAAAGACAAAACATGTTATTTCTTTGCAGCATGTGCAATCTGTTGTAGTGATACAAGCTGCTCGTTTGCGTCAGAAAAACAACTTAAATAATCAGCATTTCATCATTGTTTTGATCAATATTTTGGGGACATTTTCTTTGTTAATCATATAAGACCAGAGATTCATTCTTCGTCTGTCATGGAGTAGTGTCTGAATTATTCTAGGGAAGTGCAAAGCAACAGACAACCCATTTTCATTGCTTCATCTTTCTTCCTTTTTCTCTCTTTAACATGCTGAGCTTTCACAGCTGAATTCTCAGATTATATCAGCCCCCGTAGCTAGATGGTTTTTGGTGCTGGGGTGGCATGATGACACTTATGTCACAAAAACAATAAGATTTTAAAAAATAGAGCAGCCAGAGAAAAGGCCAGTGGCCCGAAGGAGAAAAGACTGGCCACGGAGGCCAGAAAAGTGTGTCCCCCATCCCGTCCCACCAGCCTCCCCACACCCTTGCTTTGCCAGCAGCCAGTTGGCCAGAATGGAAGAGCTGTGGTGGTGAAGGACAGATGTGCTCGGGGCCCTCCCTGTTCCATGCTCCGGGAAAAGAAGCTGGCCCTGATCCGCCCCTCCATGGGGCTAGTCCTCAGTGGCCTCACTTGGGGGGTGGCGAGCTGGAGTGCTACCCCACCTCTTCCCTTCTCTCCTCCACCCGACAAGGTGTGGCGAGCTTCGGGGGCAGAGAGGAGCCCGGCAGCAGCCAGCTGGTCAGCCTCCGTCCCACCTGCCCCTGTCATTGGGAAATTGGGAGGGGGCATTGCCCCGTGCATCCTGTGCTAGCTACGGCCCTGGATTATATCCACCCAAATGGAAACATCCTTTGTTATGGGTATGCAAACAGATATAAATGAGGAATTTTAAAAAGGTGTGAGAAACATATTTAAAATGAGAATCTTGGTTTGGGAGGGTATGTGTGCTGTAGCGGTATGTGTGCTAGTAGAGTAGAAAGATTTGTCCTTCCTTCACCTATATTCCCTCACTACTGGATGAGGAGATCCCAGAGAAAAAGGAGGAGGAGGAAGAGGATATTGGATTTATACCCCACCCTTCATTACCCACAGGAGTCTCAGAGCGGCTTACAAAAGCCTTTCCCTTCCCCTCCCCACAATAGACACCCTGTGAGGTAGGTGGGGCTGAGAGAGCTCTTGACAGAAACTGCTCTTTTTTTCAAGAACAGCTGTGCCAGAACTATGGCTTGCCCAAGGTCATCCAGCAGGTCCAAGTGGAGGAGTGGGGAATCAAACCCAGTTCTCCCAGATTAGAGTCAGCGCACTTAACCACTACACCAAGCTGGTCTTCAAGAATGGTCTTCAAGATACCAAAAGATGCTTTTGCTCAAGTTCATAGTCTAGGAAGGACGTTACCAAGGTTAGGCGTGTGCATTTGGGGTACGAAGGGACAGTTGAGGCCAGACCGGTTCAAGGGGTTTGGTTCCTCCCAGCAAGACATACACACATTTCCTCCTCGGCCCAGGCCACCACCAGAAGGGGTCCAAGCCAAGTCCCTGCGGCAACACTTGGCTTGAACCTGGCTGGCAGTAGCCTGTACCCAGGAGCTGATACCAGTCACCTGGTGTGCAGCTCGTGGCCGGAAAGCAGCCATCCCCCTGCAGTCCATCAGAGCCTCCCTGATTCTGCTGCCCCAAGCAGTTGGCTTAGCTGCTGAACCAACCCTGGTTGAGGCAGTAAAGGAGAACTGCTGAGAACTGGAGATGCTTATGGGGAAGGAGTACTAGGGTGAAAAAATCAGAGGTTTCTCTGGGAGGGTGGAAGCAGCACAGTTGTGTCTTGAAATTCTTAAGAATATATTTCGTTAGTCTATTTGATCAAGAAGTGTCTAGTAACACTTTTCTAATATTCTTCTGTGTCTCCTTCTCATAAATGCCTTAAGACGTGGCAAAATCGAGATTCAACCATAAGAAATGCAACCACAGAAAAATAGCGCTGTATTTCTTGGTACGCTGTCCAAATTTCCCCATAGAATCGGGTATGTGGTGAGTGTGTGTGAGAACAAGCAGCCAGGGAAAAAAAGTCACTTTGTGGTTACTTCTCCTAGCAGAAAAGAAAGTGGTCATATACTAATTTGCTCTCAGGCGTAAGCAGGAGTCATTTCGTAGAAAAAGAGGTGCAGGAGCTCATTAGCGTAACTCATTAGCATAACATTTGCGTATGCCACACCCCCTGACATCACCAGAAGTGTGTCAGAAGGCAACACCCACCACTCAGGCTCCACTGGACTGTTTTGGATTGCTAGCTATTGGGGGGGGGACGTGCAGGTCTGTCCTCACAGAGGAGGGAGAGCTTGTGCCTGAATAAACCTTGGCCTTAAAGGTGCCACTGGACTGTTTTGGATTGCTAGCTATGGGGAGGGGGATGCACAGATCTGCCCTCACAGAGGAGGGAGAGCTTGTACCTGAAGGTGGGCCGGGGGGGGGGGCTCTGCAACTTAACTGGCTGCTTCTTGCTCCTAGTAGCCCGACTGAGGGCTGCTGGGAGCAGGGGGCGGGGCTTGTTGCATGTGCCCGCCCCCTGGGTTCCTTACTGCTGGAGCTCCGCTCCTGTGCGCTCCCGCAGGAAATGATCCCTGGGCGTAAGAAATACGTGGGCGTAGGAAAGCAGAGACCTACTTTCTTGCAGGACTCCCCACCTCTGCTCTCATCAAAATATTTCTTATTTCCTTTATTTACACCATTTATAGTCTGCCTTTCTCACTTGGACAAGGCAGGTTACACAGAGTGAGTCGAGACAATCAACAGGATAGGGTATTCAATAAACAATACAATAGGATTAGGGCCGTAGAACCAACCAGAAATCTAAAAACAGAACTGAAGAAAAGCACAAGTCTTGACGTGACACAATAAATGACACAAATATTACATAGGAAGATCCACGTTTCAGTACGCTGAACACAGTCGCATAGACTTTCCCCCCGTGATCCAGAGCCCCATGCACACGACCTTTATGAGAGAGAAATGCTCCATGCATCCATTGGGATCTTCCGTTTATACAGGGGTCATTTCGTAGAAAAAGAGCTAGGGGAACTCATTAGCATAACTCATTAGCATATGCCACACCCCCTGACATCAGGGGCCCGGCGGTGGACCTGCAAGGCCAGCAGAAGTGCGAGGAAGCCCCGCCAAGGCCCTCCCTGGCCCCAGGCAGGCAGAGGTGGGGAGAGGCGGGGAGGAAGCAACTTACCCTCCCTCTTCTCCTGCCTCCTCCTGGCTGAATGAGGGCTGGAAGCGGGGCGGCCGGAAGCAGGGGGCGGGGCTTCGTCATGTGCCCCACCCCCTGCACCTCACCCGGGGGAACTGTGTTCCCCCGCGTTCCCCCCCGAAATGACCTCTGCGTTTATAACAGCTGAGCATTCCCCTCTCAGAGAAGGGGATGCTTTGGAGTTGGGTGTGCAGGGTGGCAGTGGCATCAGAGGCTTTCTATAAAGATCGGGAACAAATAAAGCTTAATTCAGCGGGAAATTTTTAAAAGCCCTCTTGGCCAGCTTTTTATGGCAACATCGGTACCAAACGCAACGTTCACACCTTCTCCCCCTGAACTTACGGCATCTTCTCTCCATTACTGGGAAGGAAAGGTTTGCTCAAGTTTTTCTTGGACTCTGCGATGCGATATCTTCTCCGCAGCTGAACGGGGTTTGAATAACTTTCGCCTTCAAAAATCCTTCCGTACACAGGGTCAAAGTAACCCGCCTGGAGAGCGGACATCTGTTTGTTACCCCCTGGCAGCATCTGCCTGTTCTTGCTTGCAGCTTCGTTAAAGGGGCCTTGAAAATGAGTAGGTGCTGTCACTCGCGGCCCAAGGGGCCCACCTGGCTTTTGCTTATCATTATGGATTTGCATATCTCTACTTCCCCACTTCTTGCTTTCAGACCCTCACCCCATGCTGACGGAAACTTAAGGACACTTCCTGCTGCTGCTCAGCTGCTGGGAAGGCCACAAAGGAAAGCACATAGCATGGCAGATGGGGAAAAAATTACTTTTTGTGCCAAAGGAGGCACAGCACTGGTATGCAAAAGTTTGAGTTCAAGGCATTTGGTCCACTTCTCCTTGGGGTACTAAGAAGTCGCGGTAGTTCCAAAGCAAAACCCCCTTACAAAGACATGTAGTTTCATTAGGACCAACCAAAAGGAACCAAAAGAGCGTGCGAGCTTCCAAGTTCTCCAGAAATTCTTGCACACTGTTTCGTGTCATTTTGATTGGCCCTAATAGAAGGTATTACACGGCTTCGGCTTCTGGGTTCTCCTTTTAGTGTTTCCAGGAAACAGATGCCAGGAATAGTCTTTAACAGCACCAGAAGCTCTTTACCACCACCACCACCACCCCAAAGGGCATGTAGTTCAAAAGTCCTTGGACCAAGAATCCGGATAATGATTCAGAATAATTTGCTTGATGCAACCCAAAATGCATCAGCTGCTTCACACAACATGTGGGTCAAAATGGACTTGGGAGGAATTGCTGGAGAAGTGGCAGAACAGGCAAAGTATCTACTAAGAGAACCTGGGCTCAGTTGAAGGCTACTGCTGATTTATCCAACATGTTTGTCGTAATGACTTAGGCTGGAATTGCCTTCAACCCAGGTACTTCTGCAAGAAAAGCCACCAGAGGGAAAGGGACTTGCTCACCAAGACTCTAGGGAGCACAGCAATGGTGCAGAGCTATAGTGGCACCTTTCATGTAGCAAATGATATAAGCCCATTCGGCCTGCCAATCACAATCCCATGGCAATGTATCAGGCTCACAGGTTGCACTAGTGTAGCTGGCCTAGTGTGATGGTGTACTGAGCCAATCCTAGCCCCATTATTCCACTTCTCCCAGCCTTCTATGCATGCAAATCTCTGGTGCATCAGGCATCGAAGGCCATGGACAGCCCTGTGGCATCAACCCATGCTTCAATACCAGCAAAATGTCCCGATAATGTTGGATTATCCTACCAACTTCCCTGCTTGATTTTGCCCACTTCCCCTCCTCACTGCAGCCCTTGTTCTGCGTGGCTTTTGTTCAAGTGGGTTCCATGAACATCTGTTACAGATGTTCCTTTTGGAGGTATCTGACAACACTTGATTTAGAAACAAAACCAAAGAGCAGCACAGAAGAAGTATGCAAAACAAAGGAAATAACCTGTGCTCAACAATAAACAACCATAAGTCTTAAACCATTGTATCAAAATGTAATAAGGATATAATAAAGAGGACACAGTCCAATGTAATACAAAGATAATGGAATTAAATGTAGCAAGGCACAAGGCTTCTTCACAAAGGTGGAACTCTAAGTCTTCTGCTCCAAAGGGAAAACTTTCACCGACACTTTGACTTGTGATGGGCAGCAACTTTGTGTAAGGAAATAATATGTCGGTGAAAGTTTTCCCTTTGGAGCAGAAGACTTAGAGTTCCACCTTTGTGAAGAAGCCTCTGGCGAAACGCGGCTTGTAATCAGCTAGCTTACACGTAAAGAAGGACATTGCAGGAACCTACATGAGTTCATCCACCAAGCTCCAGCCTTGAACTCCTGTGGGACTATTAAAACTGGGAAATGGTGTTCCATATTATTGGAGTTTCTGGTGTATGAGTTGATAAACTCTTGACTTAGGGCAACTATGCACTGGTAAGCTGCCCAGTTACAAGACTCCACTGTAGGCTAAAAGGTAAAGGTAAAGGTTCCCTTGCTCAAAAGCCAGTCGAATTCGACTCTAGGGTCACGGTGCTCATCTCCGTTTCAAAGCCGAAGAGCCAGCGCTGTCCAAAGACGTTTCCGTGGTCATGTGGCCGGCATGACTAAACACCAAGGCGCACGGAACGCTGTTACCTTCTCACCGAAGTGGTACCTATTGATCTACTTGCAATTTCTTGCTTTCGAACTGCTAGGTTGGCAGGAGCTGGAACTAGAGACGGGAGCTCACTCCGTCATGCGGCACACTCGGGTCTCGAACTGCTGAACTACCGATCTTCCACAGCCTGCAGTTCAGCGTCTTAACCACTTGGTCAAAACAAGACCCCTCCTCCTCAATTTCCTAGCAGGAAAGCTAGTAGGATCCAACATACTGGCATGACTTTGTGAGTTCATGTATTGACCTTGACCCTCTGCGTGTTTATTTGCCAGTGAAGGATCATACATGAAGCAATCTTTAAAAAAAAGTTATCCAGTCAGAAAATGGGATAATTTGAAATATGGTTGCTTAATGTTTAAAATATTTTAACCATTTTCTACAAATTGTTTCAAGAAACCAACCTCCCCCCCCAGCTCTATCGCACAATAGTGAAAATATACGTACGGTTAAAGGGTGAAACATATTTATCCCCGATTGTAATATATTCCATTTCAGTAAAGAGGCCAATCCTCTCCATATCTGTTTTCCCTTCCGTAGGCATGGCTGATGTTGTGTGATAACCTATCACTCTAGCAAATGGGCAGAAGCGTTACGATCCCTAGAAAGAAGGATCAGAATCAAAATACAGATTTCAGTCTTCAGCCCACTTAATCTACAATAGTCATATGATCACTCCAAAATAAACCATTTAACCAGGATAGCTGAAGTCTGTATCACTGATCTGGAGAGCCACATTGGGAATTCTCATCAACCAAAAGAGCCACATGGCTACTGCATGAACTGCGCACGTGCACATACACAAAACAACAATAGATATTGTTTACCTTGACTTCCAGAAAGCTTTTGATAAAGTTCCTCATCAAAGGCTCCTAAGTAAGCTCAAAAATCATGGGATAAAAGGACAAGTCCTTTTATGGATCAAAAACTGGTGAATTAATAGAAAATAGAGAGTGAGTATAAATGGGCAATTTTCTCAGTGGAGGGACGTAAGCAGTGGGGTACCGCAGGGATCAGTACTTGGTCCATTGCTTTTTAACTTGTTCATTAATGATTTGGAGTTGGGAGTAAGCAGTGAAGTGGCTAAATTTGCAGATGATACGAAGTTGTTCAGGGTTGTGAAAACCAGTGAGGATTGTGAGGCACTCCAAAGGGATCTGTCAAGGCTGGGCGAGTGGGCGTCAACATGGCAAATGGGTTCAATGTGGCCAAGTGCAAGGTGATGCACATTGGAGCCAAAAATCCAAAATATAAATACACATTGATGGGGTCTGAACTGGCAGAGACTGATCAAGAGAGAGATCTTGGAGTCGTAGTAGATAACTCACTGAAAATGTCGAGACAGTGTGTGACTGCAATAAAGAAGGCCAATGCTATGCTGGGGATTATTAGGAAGGGTATTGAAAACAGATCAGCCAATATCATAATGCCCCTATATAAATCAATGGTGAGACCTCATTTGGAATACTGTGTGCAGTTCTGGTCACCACACCTTAAAAAGGATATTATAGCTTTGGAAAAAGTGCAGAAAAGGGCAACTCAAATGATAAAAGGGTTGGAACACTTTCCCTATGAGGAAAGGTTAAAGCGCTTAGGGCTCTTTAGCTTGGAGAAAAGACGACTGAGGGGTGACATGATTGAGGTTTACAAGATTATGCATGGGAAAGAACAGGTAGAGAAAGAGGTACTTTTCTTCCTTTCTCACAATACAAGAACTCGTGGGCACTCCATGAAATTGCTGAGCGGTCGGGTTAGAACAGATAAAAGGAAGTACTTCTTCACCCAAAGAGTGATTAACACTTGGAATTCACTGCCACAGGAAGTGGTGGCGGCTACAAGCATGGACGGCTTCAAAAGGGAATTAGATAAGCATAAGGAGCAGAGGTCCATCAGTGGCTATTAGCCACAAGGTATAGGATAGGGACTCTAGGGCAAGTGATGCTCTGTCATCTTGGTGCTTGGGGGGGGGGTCAACAGTGGGAGGGCTTCTAATGTCCTGGCCCCACTGATGGACCTCCTGATGGCACTGGTATTTCTGGCCACTGTGTGACACAGAGTGTTGGACGGGATGGGCCTTTGGCCTGATCCAACATTGGCATCTCTTATGTTCTTATATCACACACAGAACATAAGAACATAACCTGCTGGATCAGACCACTGGTCCATCTAGCCCAGCATACTGCTTCACATAGCAGCCAACCAATTTCCCCAAACAAACAAGGCACAGAGGCACCGGGATTCAGAGGTTTGCTACCTCTGTCGATGGAGGCAGTCACCACGGCTAGTAGCCACTGATGGACCTTCCTCCATTAAACTATCTAGCCCCCTTTCAGAGCAATCTATGCTCGTGGCCAACACTCCTTCCACGGGCAGGTATTTCCACAATTTAGGGCAACTGGTACATTTTAGCAGCATGCAGGCTGACCTTACGCTGTCATGTAGAATATGCACACACACACTTGAGACTACTAATATCAAGAGTCGTATGCTAATGGGGGAAGGTAGGTTGTGTTGGAAGTGAAGGACTTTGTGCTGTCTCTTAGTCTCAGACTTCAGAAGGGGTCTATAAGAGAGCCAGAGAGAAGAGGCCAGGGCTTTGTTATCCTTCCCTTTACTCTCTGATACTATCCTTTTGATGTGTAGATTGCTACTCTCAGGGAATCTTCCTTCTAGTCTGACACCTTCTCTCCACACTGTGCCACCCTTCTCCATCTTGGCAGCATGAGAGCTGGAATGCTTTCTTGCATCCCTATCCATCCTAGCTAGTTAGACTTGATTAGGAGAATCCTATCTCTACTATGTCCTGTCTAGAATGGAGTTCCTTACAATAAAGGACTCTTATTAGTTTTGCAAAGATAAAGAAGCTCCGTGTGTGACTAACCAGATTGGCTCTGTTGAGTTATGAGCCTTGAGCACTCTGCTACCCTAAATAATCCTTCAGGTTGTGCACACATAAAAGCCTATTAATAGCAAAATATGAATAATAAAGAGATTAAAGCTGATGCTTATAAAGAAGTATACGAAGTCTTCCAGCAATTGAGTAATTCATGAATCATGGTTGCATGGAATATATCCAGCAGCATGATATAGTGGCTCGAGTGTTGGACTAGGATCCGTGGGATCAAGGTTCGAATCCCCATTCCGTCAGAAAAGCTCTCTGGGTGATCTTGGCCTATTAACACTCTCTTGGTTTAGCCGACCTCACAGGGTTGTTGTGAGGATAAAGCGGAGGAGCAAAGAATGATGTCATAAGCCACGTCGTGAAATATAAATAAATATATAAAATAAATACATGTCGAACACTTCAGAGCCGGAGTCTGGAACCAAGTTTCAGGACTGGGAAACAGGCATCACCTGGAAAAGGGATTACCCAATTCTCCTACTTTACTGGAGCCTCTGAAGAGTCCACTCACCCCTTTCTCTCCCCCAGCAAGAGCGAGTGCACGTGCCCCCAAAGCTGCAGTAGCAGCCGCCGCCGCCGCCGCCCACGTCACCACCAGGCTCTTCTTCTGGCGAAACATCTCTTTGCCAGCGAGAGTGTTTGTTGACGTCGTTGCCCTGGATTCGGAAAAGCCCAAACGCTAAACCAAGAGGGGCTTTCTAAGCCCCCCCCTTCGCCTGTGAATATTTGGTACAGCCCCGGAGAAGAGCGCGGCACTGCGCGACGCGTGAGGTGCCCGACGGGAAATGTAGTTCAAACGCCTAAGCCGGCTCTTCCCTCTCGTTTGAGGCGGAGAGAGACCACCGCAGAGAGAGGCCGAGAGGCGCCGCGTCAGTTGGTTGAGGGGCGCGCAGGGAAGCTCCCTTGGCCTGGCCTGAGGCAGAGGAGCATGCAGCTGCCCGGCTCGCCTCTCCTCAGTGTGCCGCTGACAGATGTAGTAAGTGAGGCAGCCTTTTCTCTCGCCGCCCTTCTTGGGGAGGACGGACGAGGAAGGGAACGTCGGCCCTCCCCTTCCCTTCCCTCTGCCGCCTTCTCTTTAGCGCCGAGGGAGGTGTCAGGCCGTCAGGCAGAGGGAGCGTCTCTTCCTCTCCTTCGCCGCCGGGCGCCGTGTGACTTTTGGCTGGCGGAAAAGGGACGGGCATCTGCGAGGCTCGGGGGGCCATCACAACAGCCCCTCCTCCGGGCCCGGCAGGATCCACAAGCAGAGGCCCGGCCCTTCCTTCCTGCCGTCCTTCCTGTCGCCGCGTGCTAAGAACCTCCGTCGTAAGGTCCAAACTAAAATCCCCCCGAGCAACAATGGTAGAAGTAGAATTAATGGGAGAGCCAGTTTGGTGTAGTGGTTAAGTGTGCGGACTCTAATCTGGGAGAACCGGGTTTGATTCCCCACTCCTCCACTCACACCTGCTGATGTGACCTAGGGTCAGTCGCAAGCTCTGGCACAGCTGTCCTTGAAAAAGCGCAGTTTGTGTCAGAGTTCTCTCAGCCCCACCCACCTCACAGGGTGTCTGTTGTGGGGAGGGGAAGGGAAGCAGCTCTGAGACTCCAAGTGAAGGGCGGGGTATAAATCCAATCTCCTCCTCCTAATGCAGCCCTTAAGGAGTGACCGATATGGCGCTCAAGATGCCTGGGGCAACCCTTTGAGTTTCCCCGGAGCTGCTGGATGCTCACTGCTAAGCATCCATAAAAGGAGGGGAAATTATCAGGAAGCCTCTCTGGATCATTTTAATGGATGACAGATCTCATATTCATCCATATAACCTTTCTCCCCCCCCCCCCCCCCCAACGTCCTGTGTTTGGGAAAGGGATTATTATTAGCATGGTGTCCTGAAGCATCACTCTGTAATGGGTACATTTTTATTCTGCCTTTGTGACATGGTTCAACTTTTCTTGTTTTATCTTAACAGCGAGCCTGTGACATAGATTCCGGTGGGTAGCTGTGTTGGTCTGAAGCAGCAGAACAAAGTTCGATTCCAAGTGGCTCCTTTAAGACCAACAAAGTTTTATTCAAGACTGAGAAGGGTACATCTGCCCATCAGTCTCTGGTTTTTATATATTTCTTTCCTTCACTATATGTTTCCTCCTGGAATTAAACCCAAGCAAATGGTGACCATATAAACTAAACTTGTTATTCCAGTTTGGTCCTTGCATATGTTAAACACCTTTATTATGCCATATGCTAATTTGCTGCTTACCCTCTACCTATATGTATGGACTAGTAACTTCCATTTCAATGTATCTGAAGAAGTGGGCGTGTACACAAAAGCTTATACCTTGAATAAAACTTTGTTGGTCTTAAACGTGCCACTGGACTCGAACTGTGTTCTCCTGTGAGGTAGATTAGGCTGTGAGAGTGTGAACGGCAGAATAGGGATTTAAACCTGGGCCTCTTGGATCCATTGGACCACACTTCCCTCCTACACACACTTTTGTGGGAGGGTGGCATGGTTGCAGACTTTTTGCACACTTGGAGCTAAATTCTGCTGAACTCAGTGGGATTTACTTCTGGTTAAACATGCATGCAAGCAAAATCTAAGCATAGTTACTAGGAAGTAAATCCCTTTGAGCCCAGTGGGGCCTACATCTGAGGAAACATTATTACACAGCTGCAATCCTAAGTGGCTTTAGTTTGAAGCAGATTCCTGTCTGAAATCAGCAGTATATCTTTACAAATAAATGTGTACAAGATGGTAGTCTTTCATCTTGTCTCATGGAAAGTATCTTGGAGACCAATCCTGTTCCTCTGCAGATGCGCCAACATACTCACCGACCCCTAGTAAAAGAAAGTGTATTGCCATCATACAAATATGAGTATGTATTTTATTTTAAAAACTTCATGAGGCTGTTCACAAGAATAAAAGAAAATCCCCAGAAACGTGAAAATAACCCCCCAATAATATCCATAAAGCATAACAGTAACACTATCCAAGTCAATAACATAAATAAAACCAAGTCCGTATAAAAGAGAGAAGACTCAGTCCATTGCTATGCAGAAGCAGCAAGGAATTGGTTTGAGGACTAGGTTACCAGGATGTGGGGACCGTTCTTTGTTCCCATGGCAATGTGCAATATTTTTAAGCTAAAGCAGCAGCATTTCAATTCACGTTAAGCTTCAATTGTGTTTTCTTGCCTTATAGGTTATCTTGGAAACTATGAATATACTCTTTAGAATAAGAGGAGGCTTGGACTTGGCATTTCAGTTAGCCACTACGGATGGTATGTCTATAAATATATTGTGTGTTACATTATAATATTAGTAATTTTTCTGAAGTGACTGCACAAATTTGTAGTGTCTTAGCAATCCTTGTGTCAGAAAAACCTTAGTCATCTTAACCAGACCAGTGTAAGTCAAGGGATTTTAATACCTCCAGTTCAGAGGCAGGAGTGCCACACAGGTCCTTGTATGTTGAAAATTTCAAGTGGTAGATGATTGAAAAAGTTTCCCAGGCAATTTGTGTCATTGCTTTGCTGTTCTTTTAGTTTGAATGTTCTTCTTAACTAAAGTTCTTCTTAACTGAACCCCAAAGTACTGTTTCTTGTTCTGGCCTGTCAATGGACAGAATGAGCCATTGTTTTCTCTCTCTTTTTCTGTAAATCTGAAGCTTTTTTCCCTTTATTTCAGATTCTTCAACAAAGCAGGCACTAAAGTATGTTTTCAGTGACCTTTCAGCCAAACTGGCTTCAGATGTGCTGGTGTTCAGGATCTGTCATAGCTCGGTGTATCTGTGGCCAAACAGTGGAACAAATTCAGTTGCATCAGAACTTACCGATGACTCTGCTTGTAAGGAGATACTAAGGTTTATTCAGTGAGTATGGTTGGAAAAAATAAGAATGAAACTGGCTTTTTTCCAGTAGTGCATAAATTCCTTACTATGGTGTTTTTCTGCTATTTTCCAGATTTGAGCAAGAAGACGAGTCTAAACGTAGGTTTTTGAAAAAGAAGGATAAAAAGTTGCAAGATTTGGTAGATATACTTTTCCTTACCATGGCTTTGTAGAGATAAGTATGAAAAGAAACGTTTCTTAAAATGGAAATGATGAGGACATTTTTAATAAAACACAGGGGCAGAAGTTATTTACAAATCTATTGACAGATTGAAATATACAGTTGTCTTTCAGAACTTAAACATTTCTCCTCAGCACAGCTGCCTGTAACATAGTACTTCTGCAGTGCTGCTATAAAGTTGTACAAATTCAGCAGTCAGTCACATTTTAAGTGTTTATTTTCTGCCTCAGTGAGTCTCAGGGCTGTGCTTTTTGACATTCCCCAGCTTTTGGGCATCTGTGGAGGTTCTTGATATTCCTATGCTTTTGGTTTCTCTCCATCTTCTTTAGTTAATTTATTTTTTGTTTGGGTGTTTTCACCTGGTACATTTATGTCTTTATTTTTTATTTCTTTTTGTAGCAGCCTATAGTAAATATAGATCTTATGCTGGAAATGACAACTATGCTGGAAGCCCTGGCTCCAATTATTGAAAGAGAGAACAGGGAGCATCACTACATAAGTATGACCTTGCCGGTTGATGCTGTTGTCTCTGTGTCCCCAGAAGAACCATGGCGGAAGTAAGTAGATCAGATCTACAAGAATATATGTATTAGTTTTCTTTAACTTTTTCTGTTGTATGTTTGTCTGTACTTCCAACATGCACTAATATACAACTTTATGTCTATACATTCATAAGTATAAAGCGGTGTGTTCTGAGCAAGTTGTAACTTTGTCACTCCAAAAAGCAGAAAGACTGTCAAGAAATAGTTACGAGATTGTTGAGCTCTCAGTTGCATGTTTGGAAAGTTGAAGGAAGGAGAAGAAATACTATGTACATTTTTAAGGTTTGTGTGATATGTTTAAGCTCTTGTTGGCTCCAGCAAGGTGGCACTTCCTTAGCTGTAAACACAGGCAAGCATAATTGCTGTGGATAGAAGCTATACACGTGGAGATAATCTGAAAGTCTTGGGGAGAGTCTGTAGTCTGTGGGGACAGATCATAGCAACTGCATCAAGGCAGGAAATAAGTGAAGTAAATAAATATTGTTCTGCTGATGGAAGAGGATTAAAACCCCAACACATGTGGCCTTTTGTCTGTGACTGTCCCCCTTCCTACCCCCCGAAAGGCCTGTGGGCTGCTGGGGAAGATGGAAGGTGCAGAAAGATTCACTTCAGCCAGCAGAATGGCCTCAGTCACAGTTCACTGTGTCCACAGGTACTATATTTGCAATGGGGTATTTCATTCCCTGGTACTTAAATGGTTACTTCTGTGTCTTGCAGTGTACGTAGTCTTCTGGTGAATGCAATTCACACACAGCTAACTGATATGGAAAAGTGCATTTTGAAATATATGAAAGGAACATCAGTTGTGGTGCCTGAACAATTTCATTTCATGTTGCCAGGGAAAAAACAGTTGGTAACAGTTTCATATCCTACAGGCATATCTGACAATCAGTTGGAGACTTACAGACAGGTACAACTTACTCTGAAACATTCTTTGGATGATGTAGGTCAAAATATGTTGGATGATGGATTTTTATTAGTAATCAGTAATCATGTAAAATATTAAT